AATTTTCTATGTACATTTTATGTTGATATCTGTCCAGAACCAACGTTTATTTACAATAAAAACAACCATGCCTTGTCAGAACTAAATTTTCTAAGTAAACTGAATGTCGGTACCTCCTCAGAACCACCCTTTATTTACAGTAAAAACTTCAATACCTTATCAGAAGTTTCATACCTTGTCAGAACCAAATTTTATATCTAAACTTTATGTCGGTACCTCCTGAGAACCAACCTTTATTTACAGCAAATTTTCTCAGTAAAGTGAATGTCGGTACCTCCTCAGAACCAACTTTTTTTTTTACAGTAAAAACATTAATACCTTGTCAGAACCAAATTTTAAATGTAGCTTTTATGGCTGTACATTCTCAGAACCAGCCATAATATACAGTTGAATCAACAATCCCTTCTTAGAACAAATTTTCAAAGTAAACTGAATATCGGTACCTCCTCAGAATCAACCGTTATTTACAGTAAAAATAATACCTTACCAGAACCAAATTTTTCAAAGTAAACTGAATGTCGGTACCTCCTCAGAACCAACCTTTATTTACAGTGAAAACAACAATACCTTTTCGTTAGAACAAAATTTTTTATGTAAACTTTATGTTGGTACCTCATCAGAACCAACCTTTATTTACAGTAAAAAAAAACAATACCCTGGCAGAACCAAATTTTTTAACTACATTTTTTGTCGGTACCTCCTCAGAACCAAGGGATGAAAAATTGTGTCCTGCATTTTTTTTTAGTTGTAATCTCTGTCCTGCCTTTTTATTTTACACTCTATTCGATCCTGCCTATTTTTTTTTATTAGTTTATCAGATTGTATGGTTTATCCTGACATTTTTGACATAAATTGACATCCTGCCTTTTTTTTTGTACCAAGTTGCTCATCCTGCCTTTTTTTTTACTCAAAACTCTTGTCCTGCTTTTTTTTTCTTCAAATTTCATCCTAGCCAAACCCCCCCCCCCCCCCCCCCCCTCCCTGCCTCCATAAAAATCAAATGGTAGCTCCCTAATAATATAAGTCAAATCCAATCTTCATTATTCATAAATTGTTACCTACTTATAACCAACCATTTTTTTAACTTATTTTTGAAGAGAAAATTTTCAGAGGTTGCGATGCTCTATATTGTCAGTTTTCACATACTCATTTTTCAAGTCATGTAATGAGTTAATGAACAAATATTTTAATTGTTAAATATACTGGTCTTTGAATGCCTTAAAATCCCCTTCCTAAAATTAAGCAAAAATGGATAGACGCACAAATTTATCGAGAAGCAACTGTTTTCCCTTATAACAGCTGTTTAATGTGACATAAATGTTTTAATTTGTTTATCTTACAGACTCCATATTCCATATTTAAGAAAACAAGTGTATTAGAAGAAAAATTGTACGTGTAAATTCGGACAAAAGTATTTAGAAAGAAAATAAACCAAAGATTAAGAATTAAACCAATTGTATAATATTCATATTTTATTGTAGGATACACTATCTAGCACATAAAGTCAAATTAAAATATGTCTCTTGGGACCAATAGATCATGAAGTGTATATAACAGATGTTTCTAATATATAACTGACAAAGATAACAAAATATAAAGTTATCTGATTAAGGACGCATCTCAAAACATTAAATTTTACGTACTGAACCCAAAACACCGGCTAACATGCAATTAATGAAGTCTTTAAGTGAAGTCTTTAAGTTCTATATTTTATCATAAAATCAGAGACTTATATACCAACTAAAAGTGTATATAATCTAAGACTACTGTGTTATAGTAGTCTCAGATATAATATATGTCTCCGATTTGTAGATCAATATATATGTCGTGATTATTGGTGTACATTCAGGTCACAATTGTTTGTCGGTAATTAGCTAACAAATGCTGCGCATGACTTTTGAATGGTTCTGGAGACGTATTCCGGTGCTGCATTTGTACGGTTCTGTGCCCGTGCCGGCTGCCGTATATTGATGAATAGAATTGGTCGCTAGCTTGATTGGTCGCTGGAATTGGTCGCTAGCTTGAGTCTGGTCATATTCCCCATGTCCATTCTCAAATTTATTTTTAGTTATCTAAAATATCAACAAATATTTAGACATATTTAGACATATTTAGACATATTTAATTCTCTTTCACTCTATTAAACCAAAGCACTTACACTCAAAATCATACACCCACTAGGCGTAAACTAATAATTTTCTTTCAGCCGGTCAATTCTTTTTTTATTTCACGAAGAGCTGTTTTAAAATTAATTTTAAAAGTGTTGAACATGATGAAAGCAAAAGTTTCTCAAGAGGTTAATCTAAAGTATAATCCCATGGAACAAGATATTTTAATAGAGTAATACTAGTATAGATTTCTACACATACTAAGATATTTTCATTGTTAGAAAATACGATGGGCCAATCAAAATGATATGTGAAGTGCAGTTTCTGCTTGGTTCAGTTAAGTAGAGTAAGTTAAGGGGGTACAGACCACCATAGGGATTTAACTCTTTATAATTTTTATCACATACTATTAGTAAAGAGAAATCAATCTTCTCAATGATCAAAATTAGTGTTTGCCAAACTGCTATATATCCAACGAAATTCCTGTAAATTGTGTGGTTTAAATTTCTTGAAATTCTTATATTTTTGTCAACTGGTCAAAGTAAATATTTTTTTCAAAATTTTATGAAAATAAAACGAGACACGAAGGGGGTATTTAAAACACGTAATTCGATGAGAAACTTACAACGCTAGGCAGAACAAATGGCGACGAAAATAACAAACAAGTCCACCAAACTCCACCTGGAAAAAGTCTGAGCAACACGAAAGCAACCATAAATAACCCGTGGTTGATTTAATGTGCGCAGGAAGGGTAAGCAGATCCTGTTCCACTAGTGGCACCCGTCATGTTGATCATGTCAAGTATACAAATTCGTATAGAAGTCTCATTTGGTGATGTCACAATCGAGGAAAAGAGAACAATATTGGGATAATGACAATTAAAACATATCCGTGGTAATCTATTACACAGATAAGATTGAGTTCAAAAATTGAGGAACAAAATTTCAAGACAAGTCAAATTTGAAGAAAGTGAACTAAGATAAACATAAAGGCAAAACAAGTTTTAGCTTTCTAAAAAGCTTTGGAGTACTCGCTGTATCATAGTTTTAAGTAAGATGTGGTGTTTAGGTATGGGAGGAGTTATTTACCTCATTAGTGTATATACTCATAAGTGTGGTATTTTAAGCCCATCTTGGTCATTTTTTACGCAATATTTATTTGCATTTGGATATCCTCAGACATGTGTTCCTACACAATCATTTTAATAAATTGTTATTAGATGTATCCCGATCATTCTCAAAGCAATTCTTATGCACAATTCTGGGTACCCTGTGGTTTTGGTATATTATTTGGCTTTATAACATGAACTTCATGTATTCGGACAAAATTCTGGAAGATCATTGGCGGTGATATGTATTTTAAGTGTTGGTGTACATATAAAAATAAGAAGATGTGGTATGATTGCCAATGAGAAAACTCTCCACAAGAGACCAAATGACACTGAAATTAACAACTATAGATCACCATAAGACCTTCAACAATGAGCAAAGCCCACACCGCATAGTCAGCTATACAAGGCCCCGAAATGACAAATGTAAAACAATTCAAACGAGAAAACGCAACGGCCTAATTTATGTACAAAATAATGAACGAAAAACAAATATGTTACACAGCAACAAACGACAACCACCGAATTACAGGCTCCGAACTTGGGACAGGCACATACAGAATGTGGCGGGGTTAAACTCGTTTAAAGGCGCCAACGCTCTCCCTAACCTGGGACAGTGGTGTAATAGTACAACATAAGAACAAACTACAAAAACCAGTTGAAAAATGCTTAACTCATCAGATGGATACAAATAGAAATACATCTAACAAAAACACAAGAGTGGACGTGGCAGCGTACTTATAAATCCCCACAACAAAAAGGCACTAAGATCTGAGAGTACTCACAGTTACTGATAGCTAGTTCAAAGCCAATAACAATTAATAATAAAAAAAATGCATATATAGTCAGATAAGGACTCAGAAACTTGTTCGTCTTAGTCCCTCCTTTTATTATATAACATGAAGTTGACGCGACATTATAAAGCAGGGTAATCCAGGAAAGGCAAAACTAGTCATTGGTCGGGAATTGGATCGAATCTTGAATACTCATACTGTAATTTTGTCCGTATTTAATATCTTCTTCTGTTCGGGACATGTTCCCAATTCTATATCTCATTCTAGCCAATAGAATCATTCCCACATCATTAGGCAACTAATGAGAACCGATATCTGTTACGTAATAATTTCAGGATGGTATGAATATCGTATGAAACTAATAGCTCCGCATCGTGATGCGAAGCAAAAATTGCTTAAATGCAGCTAAAGCTTATGAAATTCTTAGATATTTTAAAAGGTTGCACGTATTCTGTGAATGCACTATGTTCTGGAGCGGAACTTATTGGAGGGATAAGCAGGTCATGCTCCTCTATGGCAATCGACTTTTTGTTCATGGCAAATAAAAATTCGATGAGATTTTTGAAAGGGGGCGTAATTCCATACATGTGAATATATATTATGTTAACTGGCGAGCGGGGCGAGGCGAAAGTTTTTCGGGGACAATTTAATGCAAAAAAATATGATTTTTCCAATCCAAAGGGTGGGGCGTACGCCCTCAACGCCTCCTGAATCCGCCACTGGGGAGGATTTTTTGCCGATTAATAAATTATTTTCATGTGTTGCTACATACGCTTATTTTTTCCTTTCCTTACTCTCAATGTTTATTTAAACATTATTAAAGACCTTACAAAACACAATGTGATTAAGATACTGTCCTGAGTAAAGCATCGACTCATATTCAATATGTCGAAAAACTATAAATAGTGAAATGGCTATTGCAGTATATGTAAATATCGACATGTTGTGAAATCATATTGATACCACAAATGACAATTCTGTTGTAAAATGTCAAGATTAAATCACTTTATTATTTCATTGATAAAATTAAGATTAATATTACAATTTTGCAATTTCAGGGACCAATTAATGACTCAAATCATAATCCCGTTTGCTTTACAGGAAAGTTTTAAGATTTGTCATCTTTGTACCTAGGCAGAAAAACCAACAATTTAATTTGGTGTGTTCAGTTTCATCACAGATTTTCGCGTTGTATGAAAATCAAAGCAAACGGACCTGTTTTCTTCTTAAAAATATCTCATATTTTGTCAGGTGTTTTACGTTTAGATGCAGCCCGTTTCGAATCAGAAATCGGTGATGAAATTGAAATCGTTCTTATATATGGATTCAAACACGGTGTCATTCCAGAAATTGTACCAATACGATCAAGAGCATCAGACACTTTATAAACTAAATAACTGCTTCCAGAGTTCAAAGATTCGGAACCAGAATCGTCAGTGGAACCAGCCACAATAACAAAAGCTGCCAAGCCCGTTTCCACGTCTTCTCCAACACACACAATAGCCCCACTGTCGCCTCCTTTTGCGAAGTCTTTGGTGTCTACTGTTAAATACAATAGAGATCCTTCATCCTCGAATCCAATACACTTGCCTTTTCGCAAACAAGGTTCTGTTGCGCCCCATTTGTATACATTTTCATTTAAAATTTCTGATAAGTCCCCTCTGAATATTCGGCCGTTGATAAAATCACCACCCGTCGTTTTGAGACCGAATGTGCAGGTTAATGTTCTCTCAGGAGAAACCTGAACCAGTGAAAAGTCGATATAGGGATCATTTTTGTCGTCCTTGTTGCAATCTGAATAGTTAATATATACGTTCCGTCCGAGTTTTGAATTGTCGTCTGGTGAATATGCATGTTCTTCCTCTCCAATTACATGTGCACAAGTTGTAAAGAAATATTTGCCGTTTTTGTCTTCGAGAAACATTCCAAGCGATCCAAACTTTCTGCCTTCATCACTGCAGTTTCCACTTTCTCTTCTATTAATTTTACTACCTTGTTCGAGTTTCGAAAATAAGGATATTTTGCGTTGTTTATATTCAACTCGCAGTTGGTACTTTCCTGGTGGATCATTGAGATATTTCTTTACATATTCACATACAGACTTCTTCTCGTGTTCATCATCCCTTTTCGTGTAGACGCATATGTTGTTTTCAATGCATCCAAACCCTTTTACAAGCACATTTCTATGAATATATAGAAAACATGTACAATAATGAAATGTAATACAAATTTATTAAACTCTTGATCACTTCTGAAATAAAACCGCTGCGATATATTTATGAAATTGAAGATTGTAAAAGCTATGAGAATACAAATTACCAAGGCTCTAAATGAACGAAACGGACCTTCATATTGTTTGAACTATTCCGTTCTAGCGCTTTCACCATTTCACTCAATACAATTACATGTACATGTTTTTTCCTCTGAAATGTGAATTTTACTTTTAGATCACGTAGAAAGTAATTTATCATTGCTTCGCATCACGGTGCGGAGCTATTAGTTTCAGTCCACATACACGCCATCTTGAAATAATTACTTATCACATATAGATTCTGATTGGTTGCTTTATGATGCGGCTGAGATACAGCAACAGCTATTGGCTTAAATGAGATAAAGAATTACAGACTTTTCTCGTCTCAGGATAAGACATCAAATGCCGGAAAATTTACTATGTGTATTTCAGTTCCGATCAACTGTTATTAATTCATGTTCGTTTTATTATGCATATATTGCACACTGAAATTCAATATTGAAATATCAATTATTAATACGTGTTTAGTTGCTTTGTTAATCTGCAATATGCACGATTTATTTTGCTAAACAATGTTCTTATAAAACGTTTACAAAAATGCATTACCTGTACCTTATAACTTCTGCCAATCTAGGCACACCTCCAGAGTCATGTCTATTTGTAAATGTTTTAATTTTCAACAAGTAAAGTGAACAAAATTTTTAAAGCATGGGTGTATAACGCACACTCTTCAAGTAAATCCATTTTATATCAATCAATATCTAAAAAATACCACACTTCCAATACTAAATCAACAACCACATACACACATATTACCTTAAATTATGATAGAGCGAAGTAGTCCACAGCTTTTTAGAAAGCTCAAACTTGTGAAAGATATTAAGTTGAGTAAACTGTGTACCGACAAAAAAGTATGAATAAAATTGAACCTTTTTAAAGTGATCGTTTGTGAAAATTTAAATCAAAGTAAGACGAGAGAGGTCAAGATGACGACAGAAATCCCCAGTAAACGAACAACGACAAAACGACAAACAACAGTCTACAAACCATAATTTTTTGAAGTGGGATAACAAAACATTAGCTATTACACATGTATTTTCAGTAATATTTGAAGCATCGAAATAATTTATATTATTCCAATATGCATACCTCATAGTTACTGTTTTCCATTCATGAATTTTCAGACTGTGAAGCCTCTTTAATCGTTCTTCGGAAATGGTTTTTGAAAATGGTTTTAAATCTTCGGTAAAACGGTTAACAAGACAAGTGACAAAATTGAGAAGCTCTGCATAGATATCTTCTGTCATCTCTTGATAGTCATTTCCATCGAAAATGTTATTGCACATTGCCGAACAACGATGTGTAATTCCTCTTTTTCTTTTTAATGTTCCATTTGTCGATGAGTCTTTAGATGTTGAATCTTCTTTTGCCATACTTCTTGTGAATCGGGTTGATGACGCCGTTGATTGGAGTCTTTTGTATGAATTCAATTGGTTTCCTTTTAGAAACAGTTTTTTTGTCCTCAGAAAAATATTGAGTTTAGTTTGAAATGTTTGATCGAGCTGACATGTCCTGTTTTCCTTGGAAAGTTTGATGCCGACCAGTAAATTTCTTCTTTCCATTTCTTTTCTTAAAAGCTTGCTTAAATCTTTTGTCTTGACATAATTTAATTTTTGCGATGCAAAATTGCAAACCGTAAACCCTGATTTTGACATTTTTTTCGCAAGCCATTTTATGTTAGATTCTCTTTTCTCAACTAATTCTGTTAGATTATTATTCATCGATTCAGAGAAACGCTTCGCGTTTTCATTGAATTCCTTCATTATCCAAATGAGACTGTCAAGTAGACAAACTCCAATTCGTACAGGAATTTGGTTGTCATTTACATGGAAAATTTTCTTAAATATTTCATTCTTTCCTCCTTTTTGAATGATTCTGGCGTGTATTTCGCTGCTAAGGTTCTCAAGATCTTCTGTATTATAAGGGACGCTACTAGCAGAGGCTTTTACAAGGAAGATAAAATTTTCTTGACATTTAGGAATATCGTGTAATTTATCTAACAAATTTAAGTCCTGAAAGTAGATTAAAACATTATAAATTTGATAATATTAATGTGCTCGTTGAACAATATACCAAAAATGCAGATGAATACTAGCGACTTCAGGAAATGCTGCACACAATGTATGCAACTAAAGTTTTTATTTTTGCGAAATCCATCTCGTTGCAACTTTCGTAATATTAAGAACATTGCAAAACAAAATTTCTAAACTTACAGTAATAAAGGTATATTAGTCTCTGATGCATGATTTTTTATTATTAATTGTTTTTGGCTTTTAACTAGCTGTCAGTAACTGCGAGTACTCTCAAATCTTACCTTCTTTTTAATTTGACCTGTTGATACTATTTGTAATGCTTTTTTGTTATTTAATGTTAACATGGATCTTGTCTATATACCAGCTTTGATTATTTGGTATTTAATTACTACAAATTTTCACTTCTTCGTACTATGCACATCAAAATTATTTCATTTTTCCTTAGATGCTGTTCTTGGACCTGTACAGGAAGTTTCATCTAACATTAATTGTATATTTTTATAGTTGATATTCACCCCATGTGTACCAAGTGTTAGATTAGTTTTATTGATATTAAAGAAATTTCTTGGTATTCCTAAACGGAAGATTTTATACACACAGAAGAAGAAGTATACTTAACAACAAAATTATTATATACCTGTGTATAATATGACGCAGGTTTCTTCAAAAGTGATGATTTTCTATAAATTGTTTGAAATTTCACAATGATATCATACTTTAACTTTGTTTAAACCTGTTTTTTTACTTTTGACTTTAATTATTTATCCCTAAGCTTGTGATTTTTTATTAACTGTGTATTTGCATTCAGGTGTCACAGGTCAAATTTATTCGTTCATTGTGTGTTAATTTACGTTTTTTGATTGAGTTAAGCCTTCCAATTGATATTTTATAGTGTGTTTTTCTATGTTGTGATGTTATACTATTGTTTCAGAAAAGGGAGAAGGTTTGGTACCATTAAAACGTTTAATCCCGCTGCAAATGTTTGCACCTGTCCTAAGTCAGGAATCTGATTACTGTACTTGTCGTCTATTTATGTAGTTCATACGTGTTTCTCGTTTCTCGTTTTTATATAGATTAGACCGTTGGTTTTTCCGTTTTAATGGTTTTACACTAGTAATATTTCGGGGCCCTTTATAACTTGCTGTTCGGTGTGAGCCAATGCTTCGTGTTGAAGGCCGTACCTTGACCTATAATGGTTTACTTTTATAAATTGTAACTTGGATGGAGAGTTATCTCATTGGCACTAATACCACATCTTCCTATATCTATATATTAAATGCTACCTGCAATGAAGGTCTTGTCCCAAGAAAGAATTAAACTGTTTCACAATTCGACTTTTAACTAAAAAGGAGATAGAGACAATCGTAGAAACGGATAACATAATGACTGGGTGAACAAAACAAAATCCATCTAGACCGTGATAGCTTTATCACCCATTTTTAACGATTTTTCAATTCAGTCAATGTATTGGCATACACTGTTTTGTAATTCCGTAAATGGGTGAAATGTACTTGATTTTGGTTATACTGTTATCTGATGAGAATATAACTAACACAATATTTGGACCACCAATTATTTTTATTGGTTATCGTGTGTGTAAAAATTAGAGATTTTCTTCATATATTTCTCTGGTAAATGTATGCCAATTTGAAAGATGAGTATAAGAGACAAAGATTAACGCTGTTTATGTTTTAAATAAACTCATCATAGATACCAGGATTGAAATTTTGTATTTGCGCCAGACGCGCGTTTCGTCTACAAAAGACTCATCAGTGACATTAATACATTTTCATTGACTTTCAACATTACTTTTTTAGTTTTGTAAATAATTCTTGTCCAAGTGTATGTCCGTGCTCAACGATATTGAAAAACCAATAAGTGTTAAAAAGCATGACAATCTGGAATTTGTCCGTCACTCAACACAAAATTCTTAAATATAAGTATTCCCCTTTTGCCGCCAAACGACAACTGTAAAGGCTACACATTCAGTTAAAAGTCATCAACAAAAATAAAAACCATGAAAAACACAAACTAAAAACAAATACTTTTTCTGTTTAGTTTTTTGAACTTCATATATTTGGGCTTAAAGCATCACTGAATAGACATTAATTGTCCAAATGTACATGTTGTGCAATAAAATTGGTACCGTTAATGTTATTACTAATGTAATGACTGACGCTCTAAACATGCATGTAATAAAGTAAAACCAAATCCATGTACAAGATTTTATAAATGAAAACAAGAAGATAAACGACGTGAATGTGTTATAATTTTCTAATAAACACAATACGTCTTATTTCATTTGCAAACATACATTTTCTGCTGTTTAGGTTAAGATTTTTAAAACCACCGTTAGCAGTACTGCTTAAGCTTTTGTACCTGGCCGTTTTTATGTTCATCAGTAGGATAAGGTTATTTGTGAATATTGACTAATACTCTGCGTTTAGATAATAGAGAGGACATTTGCATATGGTTTGTCTAATATAATGACTTTTACTGATTTATATTTAGAAAACGGTTACCACACATATATAATCTGCATTTCATGGTATTGTTACATAAAATCTTCTCGGAATTTAACTTCGCTAAAGTTTGAGCTTGATTTCAAATGATTATAGTGGTGTTGCGTCACTTCATAAGACTACCCTGTACAATATACACCTAGGTACTTTTAATAATAATAGATGATTTGCATAATAATATGTTTTTAAACATTCTCCTTTTGATCTCTTCGGTAAACATTTAGTCAAAGATAGTAATGTGCAATATGAAATGTTGGTAATTAAATACAATACTTTTTGTAAAAAGGGGTGTAAATTAAATATAAAAAGAAGATGTGGTATGATTGCGAATGAGACAACTCTCATCAATAGACCAAATGACACAGAAATGAACAACTATAGGTCACCGTAGGGCCTTCAACAATGAGCAAAGCCCATACCGCATAAAATTGGTTACAGTTGGCATACCGTGCATATCGAGATAGTATGTTTAACAAAATGTATGTCTCAAAGAAAGCTTTAAATATAAAATCATAATTAACATACAAGGATTTAGTTCGAATACTCAAAATAAAAACGTTGAAACTTTTACTTATATAGTAGTTAAGATCAATACATATATGGTTGTCAGTAAAGAAGCTTAAACATAATAATGTTTTGAGATATGGCATTTAAAAAATTTAAAAAAAATTAAAATCCGTCAACATTTTCAAAAATATTATTATTGTCAACTTTTTATTATACAAATCAAGAATCTTTACAATTGGATCGTTTTCTACTCAAATTGTGCAAACTTTACCGGGTCTCTTTACTTTTGGTCCCTTTTGATTTAACGAGTATTTTAGCAACTCTTTTTGCGCTCAATTTGTTTTTTTTCTTTTTTCTGAGAAGGAACATTTTGCTATTAGTCTTTCTTCGACTTTTTAGTTTTGATTGTCCCGGATTATTCTCAAAACCACAAAATTGAACTACCAACTAAAAAAAAAAAACCAAAAACAATAGGAAAACACTTTAATTACGACCAGAAACTACACATTAAGGAAAAAGGCAAAATCATGATTAAAAGAGGAAAACATCAACAAAAAATTAAGTATAAAAGAAACAGCCATTCATTAACTTGGCACAATTTTTTTAAAATTATATGCTAACCAATACATATCACACTTGGAACTAAATCGAGTGTTTCGAAAGAATATGCATTTACTACTCAAAATGTGACATCTTTAAATGATTATAACGATATTGACAAAGGAAAATTAAGAATGCAAAGCATGGCTAACCAGAATCAAAATGATTGTTTATATATAGATATATAATATATATGACTTACTGTTTTACTAAGGTGATAGATGCCTCGGTGTCTAGATGGACTCAATAAAAAGACTAAAGCCTTTGGTCTGGTAATATCCCTAGATATCTTAAGCCTAATATTCGTTTCAGACGAGACTTTTTTCCAATGATCATGGCTACCAGTTAGGAAGTTAAAATTGTCGCACGGTGATTCTGTGAATACGTTAATACTCGGATTACGATTAATGAAGTCTAATTCATGAAACTTTGTTAATTTTTCTCGTTGTTCAGCATGCTGTTTATTAACTGCATTTTGTGTTAACCATAAACACGTGTAGGCTTCGGAATCAACCTCTATTTCATAAACTGTTGCCATGGTTGTTGATCTATGTTCTTACTTGGAACAAACCTTGTCTTTCTGAAATTACGAAGAGTGACTATAGTGAAGTGACATAATCACCTGTAAATAAAAACGTTGTTGATTCCCTAATTTACAATACCATATGTAAATATATATACTGCCAAATAATATACATTTGACAATATATAATGACAAATAATTTCAGTAACGTGAAAGGTTTTATTTTTGCAATGCAATAAACCTTTTTTTTTTTTAAAATATCTGCATACATGACCGATCGACTGTTGAGTTTTAATATCATATTATTCTTTCAATATATATATATATACTTATATTTAAGTGATGTAATTCTTTTTTAACATTTAGGTGCAGTTTTCAACACACCATAATGGTATTACGATCTCATTTTATACAGAGTTCGTTTGTTTCCTTGTCAAAAAATAATTTCGATAACGTGACAGATCTTATCGTCATTGATTGAGTAATTAAAAGTAAGCGTTTTGAAAAGACTGGCCAAAACTACGACAGGCACGACACTCTACTGATGATTAACTTGTATTAACATTCGTTCAATATAATAAAGGATGTAATTATCCTTTCAAAACTTTCGGTGGAGCTTTCAACACAAAAATACAAATAAAAACCACAAATTATTTAACGCAAGATTTCATTTCGTATATTTTTCATTCGTTTCCTTATCAGTAATGTAAATCTCAAATTTATTGATCTCCATCAAGTCTTTATGTTTAGTTTCATTGAAACTGACATGACTAATATGACACGCTCTATGACAATCAAGGAGTCCAAAATAAGGTCGAGAAAAACGGCAAGCAAAATATTAGAATTATTAAAGTAAACTAGGTAAGGGAGGATTGGTCGCCCGCTAACATGCATTGCTTCGCTGCATTCTGTATATGCCTGTCCCAAGTCAGGGGCCCCTGAATCAGAGGAAGTCGTTTGTTGCTATGTATCATATTTTTTTGTTCGTTTATTGTTTTATACATAAATCAGGCCGTTAGTTTTTTCGTTTGATTTGTTTTACATTTGTCATTTGGAGGACTTTTATAGCTTGCTATGCGGTATGGGTTTTGTTCATTGTTGAAGGCTTTACGGAGAATATTATGTTAAATTATAACAATTCGAGTATTGGTCTAGTAAAACATACTACCAATGCTTGGAATAGATGTATAAGGTTCGTTAATGTTTGTGAGAAGTTATCATCAACTATTCATAATTTAGAGTTCTAAAAAATGTATATATCCTTAAAAAGGTTTTATTTCGAAAAACAGAATAAAGCCCTTTTTTGTATACATACGAATGCAAAATAAAAATAAAATGAATTCAATATGTTTTTATTTTCTTACACTTGCAGCCAATTTTTGAAAATAATTGTATTCGGATAAAGCAATTAATTTTAAATATAAATTTGCATACGTCCTGGTTTTTTCGAACGGTCTGTTTTTTTCGAGTAGCGCTAGGTTAATTGAGTAAATACACAATATTTCTATTGGTTAGAATGTGATCTATCAGTGCTTTTACGTATAACAAAAATAGAAAGGTTTACGTTCAAATAATGTACTTTTAAAAACACTAAGACAAAGAACATTTGATCTCACGTTGACAAATACACTGAGTAAATGTTTTCATTTTCTATTTTGCTAGATATAAAAATATTTACTATCATTCCAATAAGAGAAAAGACGTTCAATGCATGCACAGTACACCATGATTGCTTTATTAAATTAGTCATTGATTTATTTTGAAAAGTCATATTTGACAATGAATATCAAAGGAGTCTCATATCTCCATATTCTCCCAATGCTGAATAAACGGATGCAAAATAGTAGCATTGGATTGTGTCATACTTTTTACAATAACAGGTAAAAAAAGTAATGAAATTACGTGGGACAATAGGGAAGATTGTGAAGTTTAGATATTGGACAATCGAGAATTGTTTTGATAGTAATTTATTAGTGTCAGTGTTTAGAAGTAATTTCAAGCAATTAATCAATGCAGCTTATGACATTTGAAATAAACATGAAGAAAAGTTAGTTTTTGCATAATTCATTTTGTCTTGTAATATTTTGTTAAACTACTGATCAAACTAAGAACAATATAAAACAAAATGTAGATATATTTTAAGGGGGAGATTTTAATTTCAAGAAGATAAAATAAACTCCAATAAAATAAATTGTTAATTGAAAAAAAAATTGTTATTGTAAAATTTAAAAGAATAATAAGAGATATTAAAAAAAAGATAGTTATAGACAAATATATAATGATAAAAATAGTTTCACATGCTACAACATTTTGGTCAGTTGTTCTCAAAGTGACCGGTTTAAAAGAGAAGCGAAAGATACCAAAAAGACATCATCAAACTCATAAGTCAAAGCCATGGCTAAAAAAGAAAAAGACCAGCAGAAAAACAACAATACACAAAACACAACATAGAAAACTAAAGACTGAGCAACACGAACGGCACCAAAACAAATTGATATTTAAGATGATTATGAATTTATTGTCTTCCTACTTAAGATTATCTGATGAGAATGAATTATAATATTATTTCCCGTAAATTTTGAAAATGAAACCTTAACACACTGTTAAATTATGATTCTTTAGAGAATATAGTAATGAATTCATTAGAATAAAAATAGACTATTCAATTTTAGTTTTAACAGAAATAAATTGTTTTTATGTAAGATACCATGTGAACTCTCTAAAACCATCTATTCACATGCGTGTTCAGTTTGACAACTTTGTAAAATATGAATTCCAGTGGTTTTAGGCCTCACCCTCTTATTTTTTAAATTTTGTAAACAAAAATTATACAGAGGTCTGTGTTGTATACTATCAACTTTCTGCTTGTGTTAGTTGTGTAACTGTAAGTTATATGACCGCTTTATGTTTAGTAAAAATATATTACTATTATACTTCTTTGTGTATGTATATAAATATTTTTTTTTTCAAATCAGTCTCCAACCCGTCATATGTAGTGTTTAACACTACATATGACGGGTTGGAGATTGATTTGAAAAAAAATATGTATATACATACACAAAGAAGTATAATAGTAATATATTTTTACTAAACATAAAGCGGTCATATAACTTACAGTTACACAACTAACACAAGCAGAAAGTTGATAGTATACATATATTGTTTTGTAACACCAATTCATATCTACATTTGTAAACTTGATATCAACTACTAGTATGCTCATGTAATTATTTATTTTGATTAGATATTGCAAAAGACCGAACGATTACATTGTTTTTTTAAGAACATTTTAGACCATACAATATTGGGGGACAATCAGAACTCTAGATTTTTAAAAAGTAGGACAATCAGGAATAATCCCATCGGATCTCGCTGATGTTTCATTCTCATACGACATATTATATTTCTATAAGCAAAGGAGATGTGGAGTAAACGTCAATGAGTCAGCGACCTAACGATAAAAATAACCACACATTGCAGAGTTTTCCGGATCAATTGAGTTCATCCCAGTTTTTGAAGGAATTCCGTTGCTCAATCTTGATTTTGTGAGTGATGCTTCGATATTGTTATTTGTCTTTTTGTCGTTTTTGTTTTGTTCATGGTTTTGTCTATTTCATTGGACCATGGACCATAAATGTCAATAAAATACTTTCATGATTGGACTTATGATTTTTGATTGCCACCTTGGTGTGTTCTCTCTGGGTTTTTTTACAATTGTCATGACTTTAAAAACTTTTTACCTGCACTTTATTGCAGATTCATGGTAAAATGTATCCATCAAACTGATGTTTATTTTTAAAATATCCACAGAACACTATTGGGCATATTTTATAAACTTTTTTTGCTTTTACCATTTTTCCTAAGGGATTAAATTAAAACTTACATATTTATGAACATTAAACCCTTTTCAATTTAATGTTAACCTTCTGTTCTAAACACATCTTACCATAACCGTGCAGTTTTGTGCTACTATAACGATCATAAGAACTATCAGGACAGGGGTCCTACTATTGTTTTCTATATTGTTTCATAGAGCTTTATTTACAGTTTGCAAAGTTTTTTGTTTGTAATGTATTATTTGTTGCACACTAAGTTGTGCACTAAATGTTGAATGTCAACAAAATCTAATTGAAAAAAAAATACACAACACAATAAATAACATAACCTTAAACATTACAAAAATATCAACAGTATGTCTACATAATATGGGTACACAGAGTCATATGAATTTCTAAATATAATAAACACATAAACATTTTTGTTTTGCCTTTTCATGACTTTGTGTTATTGTCCTTTGCTTAAGTACATAGATAGAACAAAAACAAAGGTTTTAATTGTTCCGAATGCATTCGTTCTTGTACTTATATCCTTTAAAAAAAGACGCAGCTCAGTTTTGAATAAATAACCAAAGACGTTATAACAGTAGTACGCGAAAAAAAAACTGGCCGATGTAAAAAGCTGTACTCAAGTGAAATAGAAGAAAATGATGCGTCGTTTGTGCTCAAAAACCTGCATTACATAAAAAAAATAGTTTAGCAATCGGGATTAAACTGCAATGGAAATATATAATCACAAATTTGGTTCATATATATATATATCATTACTTGTAGTTGGCCGTAATCGCATTTTTCTTTCATTTCTTTCATTTGTCTACCTAGGAGTAAAATGGGAGACTTTATTAGCTTAACCTGTAGCATAGGATTCATACTCTCATTTTCCAGTAGCAGATATAATCGTCCCTGTCTACCTATATGGCAGAACCTATTTTTTTAAAGTTAATATTTGCCACAAGGATTTTACAAAAAATATTATTTTCAATATATAGTCTTTAACAACCGACAGATGCATATATAAGACGCCAAGTTTTATTCCGCACCTCGTCTGAAAAGTTCGAAAATGTTTGTAACAGACTATAAAAGATGTGCCAACCACACACATTCATAAAAGATGACAAAACTGTATAGATACAACAGAAACCCATAGATAAGGATCCTGATTTAAGACAGGCACAATAACAGTTGAGCCTTCCCTTTTAAATCTCGATAAGTAGGTTCATACATGATACATAAAAAAGATACAACCAAAATCAGAACAGAAACAGCCTTTAACTATATAATCAATGTATAAATGGAACAGGAGTACAAGAAAAATCAAATCCAAAAGAATACCATTTCATAGAATGCTCCAAGTTGCGCAATCAACTTCAAAGTATCTTACCTGATAATATGAAACTAGGCTGACCTACACTTTGATATCCGTGCAGTAAATTTGTACAGTTCATGTTGTTACAAAGCTGGTTGTTACATATTGTCAATTACCTCATTTGCAAACTCCTGTCTATTTTTTCTTATTTGTCGGCCCATTTTGAGTAGTGCTTTTACGTGACTTTATTACTATTTGTCCGTACATATAAATGGATTTTAAAGTTTTGAACATACTGTTGCTATTTTTGTAAATACCACAAGAGTCGATTTATCAGACTGGAAATTTGCTTGGCATGAGCAAAAAATTAATAAAAAGCATTTTTAGTACAGCAAGGTGTGTAACCTTCATAAGTATCGGAGTTCGGCCCCGTTTTATAATTAGTCTGTAGCGACGCTTTAGATTTCAATGAACATAAGCTATGTTTCAACGATAAGTCATGGATTTTGCTACCACAAATCACATAAAACCTTTACTTTATTATTCCATATAGATACACAGATTTCCTTTCGAAGTTTGTGTTTATCTGTTGAAAACTTAGTACAAACTGGAAATTACATCCACATTTGTTCGTTGATATTGTATTATGAGCCCTAAATGTAGATACGATTCATGTAAATATATCGATTCTCTGAATAAATTTATAAAAGAGGTTATCAACTTTGACTTATTTCTCACTGTAATAAGATCTTTGAATATTGTTTTCATAGGTCCTTACATTAATTTTGTTATCAAGAAATTAATACATAACACAAATGTGTTACTATACAGGTATAAACCACATCCTGTCGATATATATATATATATTGGCATTGTATAAGGTCATGTTTTTCTCAGATCGTTTATGACCGCTTTAGGGTAAATCCATTTTATGTGTACTAATTGATATATAAGTCTGCGAAACATTATTTAAGTTTTATAGTTGTAATTGTCTTCAAAATAGCTTTCAGTAACTGCGAATACTATTAGATCGTACTTTGTGTCTTTAGTTATTTTGTAAGGTGTTATTGTGTGCTTATAATTATGTATTATGTGACTGTCCCACGCCAGGAGCCTGTTATTTTGTGGTTGTCATTGGTCGCTGTCTTTTTTGCTTTTCGTTTTTCTGTATGAAAAATACAACAAATCTCACAACTGAATTGTTTTACATTTTGTCATGTCTGATCCTTTTATAGCTTACTATACGGTATGGGTTTAGCTCTTTGTTTAGAACCGTTTATATTTTTCTGTCGATTTTTCTTTCTGCATTTTCTTTATTCTATTTATTTGATGGATCCCTTGAACTTTTCATTTGTATGAACTGATTATTTTAACTTTTCTCACTATGGTCACAGATGCCCTGCTATTTTGATGGACTCAATAAAAACACTACAATCTTTGGTTTGGTAATATCCTTTTAAATCTTAATACTCATTTGAGAAAAATTCATTTGCCATTGATAATGACTACCAGTAAGAAAGTTAAAATTGTCGCACAGCGAATCTGTGAAAAAGTTTATATTAAGCTTACGATTGATAAAGTAAAATTCAGGAACTCTGTAGATATTTCACATTCTTCAACATGCTGTTTACTAATTGATTTTTGTGTCAACAATAAACATGTGTAGGCCTCGGGATCAACCTCTAATTCATAAACTTTGGCCATTGTCGTTAAGGATGTATTCTTCTGATGTTTCAGACTCGTTAAAATCTCGATCGAGAATTATTTAAAAAGCATGTGATACAAGTGGAAAATATCAATGAATTTGAAAAATATTATTATCAAACTAAACTCTGTGAAAATATTGTGTACTTACAATAAAAAATGGAAATAACACGTTATAAATTTCATGCGTCCGAAACACTTTCTGGATTTACCTTCATCCGGAACGCTAAAAGCCGAATATTTGGAAGCGAAGAATGTATAATAACCTAAATAGTTGAAAAGCTATATGACCAAAAAGGACCTAAAAAAAAATAACCAAATTTATCTAAGGTCAATTTTGCCTGAGAGAGTTGAAACCTTAGTTTCTTATGATATCAAAATTTATTAAAGGACAATTTTAGAAAGTTTTGTTATAAATCGTGTCAGTACCGAAGCACTGACTACTGAGCTGATAATACCCTCGGGGACCGATAGTCCACCAGCAGAGGTATTGAAATTTTAGAAACTTTAATCAATCCGGTCAGTGTCATCAGCCAAAATGTTGAGAAAATGGGTGAGGGATACAAAGAAATGAGTTTACCAAATATTTGTACATCGCATATCAAAATTTTCTTTCAAAATTCTTAGATATATAATTTTTTAATCATTTTTAAAAAAGAAGTTGAAATAATATGTTTTTTGCTCTAAAAAAAAGAGAAAAATCCCAAATTTACAAAATTAACAGCATTCTCAATTTGACACGAAAAAGCAACGAAATGTTATAAAATTTTCTAATATTTACACCAACCTATAGTTTTGTTTAAGCTAAATTTATTCAGATTGGTCCTCTTCATCGTTAGTGAAAGTATGAAAAAAAAGTTTAATTGTGAAACTGTGATTTTTCCATGATTATAGCCCAAAAATTGGTAAAAAATGATGAAAAATGGGAAAATTATTAAAAATGGGGTACTTTTCAAATGGCCGTAGCAAAAAAAGTAGTGCACCACCATACGATTTTTTCTTCGTCAATTACTTTCTTAAAGTAAAGTCATATAAACCCAAAATTCAGATTAAGAAAAAAAAATTTAATTCTAGTTTTGGTCCTTCAGAGGTGCACATCCTTAAACGATGTTCTTTCTTGAAGAAAACCTTGTCTTTCTAAAATTACGAATAGTATCTATATTACAACGGCATGATGAAGTATGAAATCAAGGATTTGTAAAGTTAGTTATAACTATACAGATCCTTGTTGAAATATATATAGATAATTTTTAACAAACAACATTAAATACGAATCTTCCTTGACTTCCCAATTTCCAAACGGTAAATTAAAAAATAATTTCAGTATGTGAAAGATATTATCGTAATTGACAAGGTAATTTAAAAAATAACGTCAATAGAAATATTCCAATTAATTTCAAAATGGAACAATTTTAAATAGTTTAATTTCAATTTATCTGACACGACCATGCACTGGGTTGATAATTGGCCTTCGAGGTCGGTATTTTAGTTAATAAATCTTTTACTTTTATAAGGGCCTTTCTTTTTCAATATATAATTATACATTTGTTATACATAATTACATACCTAAAAAGAAGTAAGTTTTCTTTCAAAACCTAAAAGCGTAGTTTCTAAAAAGCAAAATAATTATCTGCACGTGGTTAAACCGCCGTACAGTTAATTCCCAAGGTTGCTGTGCAATAAAGCGAGATTGGTAGTCACAACACAACGTCCAGAAAGTATAACAAAAATAGCGTACTCCGTGGTAAATTCATTAAATCCATAAAAACTGACAAAATCACACGTTATCATACAACGGAACAAATGAAAAACATGTTATATTCCTGACTTAGTACAGGCATTTTCGGAAGAAAATGGTGGGTTTAACCTAGTTTTGTAGCAAGCTTAACCTCCCAGTTTGTACGACAGTTGTGTATAATTCCGTTATATTGACACAATTGAGTGAGCAATCCAAACATACATAATAGGTTAGTGTGACGGTGTCATCCTGGTTTGCCCACTTATAATTACATGCATATATAAACATAGGGGAATTGTTGTTTTAACTATTAAAGTCTGTTTCTTAAATTTAGGCATATTATTTACCTATAATTTACCTGTAAAATCTTATAAAGAATACATATTTTTGATTGAAAACTGGTTCAAAATTGAGATTTAAAAAGAAACAATATTATTATAACAAAAACTATTAATATAATTAAAAAAGAGATAAATGTTGTAAGAATATTAATATTGAGATTTAAAAAGGACAAAATATTATAATAAAATATAACTATAATAAAAAAAGAGATAAATGTCATAAGAATTTTAAATGAGATTATAAAGTAAAACAAATATATTTATAAACTAATTAAAAAAAAATAATTGTAATCAGATTTCTATCTATTCATCTTTATCTTAATTTATGATAACACATTTTTTAGGTTATAGTGAAATAAATATTTAAAATTTGAGAAAAAGATATCTATTACTTTTTAATGCTTAATAAAAAAAAATTATATATATTTTATAATTATGTGAACAGTATTATTCATCCAATCTAGGACGTCAACTATTCAAGTTATGCTTTTGTAGAAAATTCTCTTATCTTAGCCAAGATTATCATCATCTCTTTGAACACTTGTCACAATTCATTAGTATTATAAATACACCGGTCTGTCAAATTCAAGCCATTCAAGTAAAGTATGGCAAATGCACAACTACAACCACTTTAGTATATTCAGAACAAGTTTGGCAGAGATAGTTTAGTATTAGGAGGTCACCGTTATAGTATTAAGAACAGACGCAACAATAACAGAATCTACTGGAGATGCACTGTTTCAACATGTCCAGCAACATCCATAGACATGAGGGTCACCCGATTTAATTCGGTCCACCACACAACCACCAAGCTAACCCAACCAAGATAGAGGTATCAACAATCCTACAGACAATGACACAATTAGCCAAGACAGAAGTCACACCTATGCCAAAACTATACGAGGAGGAGCTAGTCAAACTCCGTAACCCAGATTGGACAGACGACACCAAACAGATTGTAGAACAACTACCTTACTCTGTTAAGACGTCACTGTACCATCAAAGATCTCTAAATATAACCGGACTAACCAAGACAACAGCAGACATCAATCTACTACTAAAGGAGATCAGTTTTTTCTACCCTCTGACAACATCAACCAACCAATGCTTATATTCTCAACTACAGACAACCTTAGACACCTTGCTTCTGTTGACACTATCTGCTGTGATAGAATCTTCTACACATGCCCAACTCTGTTCCACCAGCTTTACACAATCCGAGCAATGGTTGATGGTGCAATCGACTATGAAACAGCCACGAACAATGCAGCTCATTTCGTCTTACCTGGTGTTCAAGTCAAAGGTTGCTTTTTCCACTTTACCCAATGTATTTGGTGAAAGACTCAGAAATGTGGACTGCAGACTAACTACAATGAACACGACGACATCACCAAGCTTATTCGACCGACAGCAGTCTTATCACGGGATCAACTTGAAGGTGTTTGGCTCACATATTGAGTCTTTAGAGTCGAAACGTTATTTTC